TCTGTAGAAACTATGCTTTGAAAAGCTCTTCATACAAAATTCTTCTTTGCTTCAGATGCTTCTGACTTGCTTCAGATTCTTCTGGAGCTTCTGCTTCAGATCCTTCTGGAACTTTTGCTTCAGATCCTTCTGGAAGCTACGCTCAGGATCTTCTGTTAGCGGCAATCAGAATCTTCTAATTAATGCATCTGGCGCTTCAGAGTGTAGCTAATTTCTTGTGTTCAATTCTGATTTGCTTCTGGAGTGTTAATTCCTTTACTATCTGCAGTAAAAACTCTCAAGCAAATTTTAGAGTATATAATTCTTAAATACAAAATTTCATAATAGTTATCATCAAAACATAGAGATATTATTAAGAACCAATCTGTGTTCTAACAATTTCTACGCCTTTCGTGCGAGGGTCACGTTTCTCGATGTGAATTTTCGAGGGTGCGACATATAGCTGAGAGGAAGAATCGAAGTATACTGAACATGACTTGGAGTATATTGAAAGCTAAAGATATGCCAAAGAGATTTTGGGATAAAGCAGCTTTGATAGCAGTATATATTCTAAATAGATTTCTAAACAAGAAGATGGTCGTGAAGACTCCTTATGAGGCTTGGACAAATGTGAAGCAGAATGTTAGTCATCTTAGAGTGTTTGAAACAATGGGTTTCATGCATGTACCTAAACAATTGAGGAAGAAACTAGATGATCAAAGTTAAACAATGGTGCTCATAGGTTATCATTCGACTGGTGCACACAAGTTGTATTCATTAAATGTTGATAACCTAATATTTAGTCGAGATGTCCTAGTGAAGGAAAGTAAATGGTGGGATTGGATTCATGGGTCAGTTCGACAGAAGTCAGATACACTTACGACTGTGTTTGAAGAAGATTAACAAACTGAAGTACCAACCAATCAAAATAAATTATCACCTACGCAGAATGTTAGAAGATCAACTAGAGAAAGAACTGAGTCAAAAAAGCTAGCTGGATATGAGAGATTTCCAAATCAATTTGTCGATGTCAATGCTGATTTAATAGAAGAAGCAATGATGATGGATAAAGAGGAACTAAACAATTTTGATCAAGCCATGAATGATACAAATTGGTTAGCAGTCATGAAAGAATAACCTAGGTCAATCGAGAAGAACAAGACATGGGAGCTTGTCAAAAAGTCAATTGAGAAACCAATTGATGTGAAGTTGGTTTACAAGTTGAAACGCAGGCCGAATGGAGAAATTGCCGAGCATAAGGCAAGACTAATAGTGAGAGGTTTTTTTTAAAATCCTAGTATTAATTTCGACGAAGTCTATGCACCTGTTGCAAGGTTGGAGACAATCAGAATTATTCTGTCAGCAATCATAGAGAGGGTGGAAGATACATCAGTTGGATGTAAAATCAGTCTTTGTGAATAGACCTTTGGAAGAGTAAGTCTATGTCAGTCAACCACCAATATTTGAAATCAAAGGGAAGTATTTAAAGGTGTATAGATCGAGGAAGGCTCTCTATGGTTTGAAGCAAGCTCCGAGAGCTTGGAATAAGAGAATAGATAGCTTTCTGATCAAAGTAAGTTTCACAAAGTGTGTCTCTGAACACGTAGTGTATGTCAATGTTGCAGACATTTTCACTTGAATCATCATATGCCAGTATATAGATGATTTGTTGATTATAGGTGTAGATGAAGCAAAGATAACAAAAATCAAGTCGAAGATGATGCATGAATTTGAAATGTGAGACCTAGGGAAGTTGTCATATATCTTAGGGATGAAGTTCAAAGACATGTGTGAAAGAGTGTCCCTGCACATAAAGAAGTATGTCCAAGATATCTTGAAGAGGCTCAAGATGATGAATTGTAATGCAACTGTTACACCATTAGAAACTTAAGCAAAGTTGAGGAATGAGCCAAATGACGAGTTTGTAAATGCTACACAGTATAAAATGATCATTCGATCTTTAAGGTATATTTGGAATACCAGGCCAGACATTTGTCAAAGTGTGGGATTGTTAAGTATATTCATGAAGAGACCCCAAGAATGTTATCTCACTGCAGTTAAGAGGTTGTCGAGATACATAAAGGGTATAATTGATCATGATGTGTTGATGCCAAGGCAGAAGAAGACCATCACAGATGCAGAAGTATATGGCTACAATGATTCAAACTTTAGTGGAGATCAAGATGAAAAGAATATTATTCCAAGCTACACATTCATAATCAAAGGCGCTCCAATCTCATGGAGCTTAAGGAAGCAAACCATTGTGGCTTTGTCGTCATGTGAAGTTGAGTACGTGGTTGCATCATATATAGCATGTCAAGCATTATGGATCAATATGATGCTTGAAGAACTCAAGATACTAGAACCTAAGAAATTGAAGTTTTTTATTGATAATAAGTCAGTTATCGACCTGTCGAACCACCCAGTGTGTCATGGTTGAAGTAAGCACAAAGAAAGAATGTATCATTTTTTGAGGAATCAAGTTAACAAAGGAAAACTTAAACTTAATCATTGTGAAACAAAATGGAAAATAACTAATATACTCACCAAACCCTTGAAGAAAGTCAGGTTCGAAGAGTTGAAGAGAAGCATCAGGATAAGAAGTCTCGAGAACATGAATTATGGGGTATGCTAGAAGTTGTAATTCAATATTCTGTAGAATGGTGACATTTCACTATGTCTAAGTAGTAAGAATTCAATGTTATGTTGAAATAGCTAATCTGAGGTATAGGAATAATTTGTATTCAAAAGAGTTGAATACAACATTTAGTTGGTATGTCAAAATGTGTTTGGCATATGTCGAATTGTATATTTTGGATTTGGGCTTTATTTGCCTATTAAGGGCCATATTATTTTTTAAATAAAATAGAATTTCACTCAATACGAATCCTAATTTTCACAATTCAATTTATAATTTTTCTCTCTTTTCTTTCTTCTTCTTGTTTCACCTTTCTTAAAAACCCTTGTGTACCAACATTTGCAAATGCGATAAATTCAAAAGTTATGAAACCAATATATTAAAAAATTATTAAATGAAAAATGTTATATAGATAATTTTTGAAAAATAAAGAAAGTAGTATATTAGATATTTCATATTATATATATATATATATATATATATATATATATATATATATATATATATATATATATATATATATATATATATATATATATATATATATATATATATATATATATATATATATATATATATATATATATATATATATATATATATATATATATATATATATATATATATATATATATATATATATATATATATATATATATATATATATATATATATATATATATATATATATATATATATATATATATATATATATATATATATATATATTAAATAAAAACAAAAATGGATACAATGTTTACTAACAAAAAGAAAAAGAAAAATAGTACCTTTAAAAATATTTAATAACAAAAATATATGAGAACATAGAACTTGCCTGCCACTCAATCGAATGATGCCTTACTAGATGCGTAGATGTGCTAAAGGATAATAGAAATTCGACGAAGGGCAGAGCGATGAAATTCATCGCACCCCAAGTCGTGAATGGGAAACTTGAAGTTGTAATTGAAGAAGATGATATTATCTCTGAAGTCAAATTTTGGGAATCCTCTTTGATTCTTTACGCAATGGGAGTTGACCTAAGCATGAATGCGGTTAAGAATTTCATGACCAAGAATTGGAACTGTGTTCAATTGCCGGATATGTATTACAATGATGAAGGTTATTTTATCCTTCGATTCAAGTCATTCAAGGACCGAGATGAAGTTTTGCTGAGAGGACCATACATGATAAGAAACATCCCTCTGCTGATTCGTGAATGGAGGCCAGGTTTCAAGGTCAAAGATGAACTTCTGCGAACTCTACCTATTTGGGTGAAACTGCCTCAACTACCCATCATTCTGTGGGGTGATACAAGTTTAAACAAGATAGGAAGCGCTCTTGGAAACCCCATCATGACAGATGAATGTACGTCAAACAGACTCCGAGTATCCTATGCGTGAATACTTGTGGAAATGGATATTACAAAAGAACTTCCACAAACAATTACCATTGGTGATAATGAAGGAGAAAAGATCCAACAAGCTATTGAGTATGAATGGAGACCCCTGTTCTGCAGTAATTGTCAAAAGGTTGGCCATAGTTGTGACAAACCTAAAGTGACACAACAATGGAAACCTAAACCTGCACCACAACATACAGGTAATGTGAAAACTGTGAAGGACAACACTGTTGAAAGGATTCCTAGGGCTGTAGGAAACAACAACACTGCAGGTAACAAGGTTATTACTGATATTGCTAGTTCCCCTGCTGTGATTAACATTGTTAAGGGTAATACCTTATCTGAGATTTCCACTGACCTGGTTAGTAAGGCTGCTGATCCACCTCTAGAAAATGAAGTTAACCTAATTGAGCAGGTTGAGGCAATTATGAAAAAATGGATAGAAGTTATAAGAAGTGGTAAGGATAGAGGCAAACAAAAAGTTAACCCCAACAGTGTAAACAAGATTGTTTGTGATAATGGATTTGAGGCTCTTGAGATTTCGAAGGATCTTATAGAGTCTCAAAATACTGGCCAATGATTACATCTTGGAATGTGAGGGGGCTGAATAAATTGGGGAAGTTAAAGGAGATTAGCTCCTGTCTCTTTAATCTTCACCCTAAGATTGCAATCTTACTAGAGACAAGAGTTAAGCATGACAAGGCGAGAAAAATCAGAGATCAGCTTAACCTCAAAGGCCAATATCTTGACAATTACAAAGAACATTACAATGGCAGAATTTGGATCTACTGGGATGAGAGACAATGTGATGTCAGAGTGATAAAATGCACATCACAGATGATACATTGTGGTATCCATGATGTAAATGGAGTATTCCAAACTTGGATGACAGCTATCTATGCGTTGAACCAACTTGAGCAAAGAAGGAAACTAAGGGAAGACTTGAAACAAATTCATGACAGCTAACAGGGCCCTTGGTTCCTTATGGGCGATTTCAACAATGTAACTAAATCTATGGACAGAATAGGTGGGAACCTAGTGACTAAAAGAGAGTTTGGAGATCTTAGAAGCTTGATGGATCATGCTGGCTTGTTTGAGAAGGATAACACAGGAGACTATTTTACCTGGACAAATAAACACTCTATAGGTACCATTTATTCAAAAATTGACCATGTTCTTGGTAATATAGACTGGCTGCAGGATAATATTGATTTGAAGCTAGAGATTCTCCCTCCTAGTATCTCTGATCACTGCCTTTTAGGCTTGAGTGCTGAGAAGATTAACAGAGCAGTACACAAAAAATTCAAATTTACAAATAGTGTGGTGAAGATAGCAGATTATCATGACACTGTCAAACAGAACTGGAACAAAGAGATTACTGGCAGACCCATGGCTAGACTGTGGTATAAACTGATGAGATTGCAAGCTCCCCTAAGCAGACTGAGCAAACAGTTTTCAAACCTCCAGCAGACCATTGTCCAAGCAAGGAATGATTTATTACAAACCCAGGAAAGTCTCATAATGGACAGAATGAATACTGAGATCATTGAGAAAGTTAAAACCTGTACTGATGAATTGACCCATCTGCAAGAACTTCAGGACCAAATGCTGAGACAGAGGAGAAAGATTAATTGGCTTAGAGAAGGCGATATGAATTCATCTTTCTTCTATGCTTACCTAAAATCCAGGACTACAACCACAAATATTAGCCAACTCTATAAAGATGATGGTACTTGTATTCACAACCAGGAAGACATAGAAAAAGAGGTGCGTGAGTTTTATGGAAAATTGATGGGCACAAGAGAACCTAGAATAAATATGATTGATATTGATGTCATGAGGGAGGGGCCTCAACTGTCCATGGAACAAAGAGCTGATCTAATTTCACTAGTGTCTGTTACTGAAGTCACTAATGCCTTAAAAGGGATAGGTGACCTTAAGAGCCCAGGTATAGATGGTTACAGAGGAAAAATTTTCAAAGCCAGCTGGGACATTGTTGATAAAGATGTTATTGAAGCTGTTACAGAATTCTTTGAGAAGAATGTGATTTATAAAGCTTTCAATGAAACAATTGTTACTCTTATTCCTAAACAGCCGGACGCCAAAACCTTGAAAGATTATAGGCCAATTGCTGGATGCTCAACAATCTACAAAATCATATCCAAGATCCTCACAACCAGACTTGGGAAGGTGTTGGGTAACATCATCAGTAAAGCGCAGGCAGCCTTTGTTCCAGGTCAGAAAATCCATTCTCACATCTTACTAGCTATGGAACTTTTAAAAGGTTATAATAGGAATACTGGTACTCCTAGATGCATGGTACAATTAGATCTCCAAAAATCTTATGACATGGTTGATTGGGGTGCTCTTGAAAATATTCTTAGTGAAGTAGGATTACCTAAGAAATTTGTTGATTGGATTATGACCACTGTGACTACAGTTTCTTATAGATTTAATATCAATGGCAAGTATACTGATAAGATCAATGCTAGAAGAGGTATTAGGCAAGGGGACCCCTTATCCCCTCTCCTGTTTGTAATAATTATGGAATATCTCATCAGATTACTTTTCAGAATGCAAAAGAATCCTGATTTCAACCACCACCATGTTAAATGTGAAAGGCTGCAAATCGCCCACCTAACCTTTGCTGATGACCTCTTGCTGTTCTCTAGAGGCGATCATGTGTCCATGGATATTCTACAATTAACTTTGAACAAGTTTATGGATTCTACAGGTTTGAAAATAAACCCTTCTAAGAGTATGGTGTATTTTGGTAATGTTTCCGAAAATGTCAAATGTGCCATCCTCCAGCTAACCTCCTACAAAGAAGAGTCTTTCCCCTTTAGATACCTAGGTATTCAGGTGACTAGTAAGCGTCTTACTGTTATCCATTACACGCCGTTATTGGACATGTTATTAAGTAGGATAACTCACTGGAGTTCTAGATTGCTGAGTTATGTATGTAGGCTGCAACTCATCAAGAGTGTGCTCTATGCCATCACAACCTATTGGATGCAATGTATTTGGTTTCCAAAAACTGTGATCAACAAGATCAATGCAATCTGTCGGTCTTTTCTCTGGACAGGTGGTAATATTATCAGTAGGAAAAGTCCAGTAGCGTGGGATAATGTCTGTAAACCACATGTGAAAGGCGGACTAAATGTGATGAATTTGGAAATTTGGAATAGTATGTTTATGATAAAACTTCTCTGGAATATCTATGCAAAATCTGATGATTTATGGGTTCGCTGGATACATGCTTATTACTTAAGACATGAAGGTATTCTGACTAGAATTGTTAAGGGATCGGACTCTGGAATTTTCAAAGCAATTCTAATACAAAGGGACAATCTAGTGACTATACAGAGTACATGGAATGATATGCTGCAGACAGGTAAATTCCATGGGAGAAAAGTGTATCAAAGCCTTCTACCTATTACTCCTAATGTTGCATGGGCCAAATTAATTCTTCACAATAGAGCTAGACCCCGTGCAATTATTACTCTTTGGATGATCTGCCATGACAAGTTAGCTACCAAGTCTAGACTTTTCAGATTTGGAATGCTCAATAATAACAAGTGTGTTTTTTGCAATGAAGAGGAAACCATTGATCACTTATTTTTTTGCTGTTTGGAATTGAAGCAAATCTGGATTGGTATTCTTCAGTGGATGGGTATTCAACACAGTCCAAAAAGATGGAAAGAGGAAATGCAATGGGTTCTAAGAAATTATGGTGGGAAAGGCTGGAAATCTGATCTGTTTAGGCTTGCCCTTACAGAAACTCTTCATGAGATCTGGCTCTCTAGAAATGAATCTTGTTTTAATCAAAGAACTGATAAAAGGAAGTGCCTAGATAGAATTATAAACAACATAATGTATAGAGGGTGGACTAGTCCTAAGCTTAGACCACATATAGCTAGGTTGATTTTACCTTAAAATAGTTTTGTTTGTTTATTGGCTGGATCCTCTGATCGCCTTGTTTTGTACTGTTTTTTTGAGTTAATGTCAAATTTCTTGATTCAAAAAAAAAAAAAAGAGAAATGCTAGCACCAAACTCTCTAACACACTATTTTATCACATTCCGATAATAATTAGTCAAATCATCAACAATTTTTATATCCGATAACCTTTTTATTTTTTGATGGAAGGCTATTATTGGTATTAATGTGATATGAATAAAAATTTAATTTATTATTATTAGTTATTTATGCTTAATCTTCTTTGCTCAACCAAGCGTCTCTTCATATTTTCTCATTGTCTCTTCTTAACAATTGTACTAGAGAAATGTCTTGGGCCAAAAAAATTGTTGTTTTCATTCAGTAACTTTTTTTGCATATAATTCTCATTTTAATAAAATTTCTAAAACTTAATTCAAATAAAATAATTTTTCGCCTGCAAATAATCCCAAAGTGAAGTAACCTCATTACTTTTATTCCTGTTATAACACAATTTAATAGGAGAAAAACCTTCTACAAATGTGCATCCACTGGTTTTTCAACAAAAATAAAACTCAATTTAGAAAACCTAAAAATGGAACCCAATTTAGAGTCATAAAAATGGAACATCTTTTATGAAAACTATTTAGATTCTCCGTGTCTAAGACATAGACGACCAGAAGAGCCTACAAGAAAACGATATATATAAAAAATTTATTGAATCTTAAAACAAATAGGATGGCAGCTAACTAAGCGTGAAATATGACAAATAGAACATCACGAGATAGACAAAAGAGACTGTGAGATCAATATTGAGTTTGTGTGACATAAAACTAAAAGATCCATAGACATGTCTGAAGAAGTTGTGGATAATAGAGCTTATAGAGAGTGAAATAAAAAAACAGTATACTTGCATTACAGATGATTAACTTTTTTAAAATAATTTTTCAATAAAAAGAGATTATTGTTTCTCAACTTAATCAAAATTAGTTTTGTAAATTTTATTATCTAAAACTTCTCCCTCCATCATTTTTACTAGAAGTTTCATTTTCATATTCCCTCATGACTTTCACTACAAACCCTAAAATGTTTTAGAATAATCTAACACTTTCCTCCTTTAAAAGTCTCAAATTTTCCTCTCTCCCTCTCTAATTTCACAAAACCCCAACCAAAACAAAATTTAAAATACTTCTGTTTCTAATTTCTTCGAAAACTCTATCAATTTTAAATTTCTTTATTCATCTTTCACTTTATCTATCAAACTATGCAATACCCCGTATTTAATAAATATTCTAAATAATATTAGTTGAGATCAACTGGGTTCGGGTGTGCTTTAAGAATTATTTGTTGAGATAATTAGAGTAACTGATGAGCTAAGAGTTGGTTTAATTAATATTATCCGACTCTGAGGTTTTATTAATTGGTACTTTAGAGGCATTTTGGATACCCTTAATTTGGACTCTTACCAAGTTAGTCTTACTAACTTTCCTTGTTTCTTCCATGTGCATCTTGTTTCCTATTTGTTAGAAAAGTAGTAAGAAGAAGAATGAAAGAAAAGATAGTAAGAGGAAAAGTAAAGAAGAAAAGAGAGAAACAAGAGAAAGTAGAGAGAAAGAAGAAGAAACCCTAGTAGAAGAGAAAACTTCACCATTCATCATCAAATCATCTCATTTTCATCATCAACAACTTCTTCATCATCATCTAAAGGTGGATTCTAGGTAGAAAGTCAAAGTTAGAGTATTTGGATAGAATAGGAAAAGTTAGGTTATGGTGTTCTTGTTCTATTTCTATGGAAAATATATGATTCATGATATTGATGTGAGATTATGGTTTAAAATGTTGTTTCATGTGTGAATATGTTAACTTTAATGATGGATTGAGTTTGGATAAGAGTGGGGTTTGAAAATTCCTTGAGATTGTCATATTCTGCTGGACAAATTGCAAAAATCGCAGGGTTCACACTGGAAGCTCTAGAAAACTACATGCGAATGTGACAGTCTATCATGTTCGCACTGCGAGCGAAAGCGAGACGAAGGCGGACATTCACCCAGAGTTCGCACAGCGAGCAATGAAGGCTTTTTCCACTGCCATTATTTTTCCTGTCTCGCCCTGAGTTCGCACAATGAACTCAAGGCGAAGGGTCCTCGCACTGCAAAGTTGGCAATGTTTTTCATACTTTGTTTTGATGCTTGCTTGATTGTTTCACATGCACGTTTGTGATTACTATATATTGTTTACATTTATTATGATGAGTAATATGTATGTGTATTTGTGGATTGGTGGATTGCTAAATGATGGTTATATGATTAAAATGAATTAAGAAAAGTGAGGAAAACTTATCATAATCAAATGGAATGACCTAGGGATGTAACTAGGAGTTGGTAGATAACTAGATGATAATGCTTGTGCATTTGATGCCTAGGTGTGCACCCTTGACAAATAGAATGTGGTTCAATGGTCTAAGTCCTTCATTACATCAATTCCTTATAATCTAGTTTAATTTGAATAATATCAATAAGTTATTGATATTCAAATTAAACTATAAGAGAATATATGGATGTGTTAAAGGAACCAGGTCATTGGAGCACATCATATATGTTAAACATCGTGAGATGAACGATGAGACGAATGCAATTCGAAAACATTGAATGATATAAGTTAGTTTTCAAATACAACTTAATTTTCAAATTATAAGTTTCTATGTCAATTTAAATGAAATGTATTTTCAGTGAAGGGTTATTGAAACAAACAATCTACATAACATATAATAAACTTAACTAATTCATATAATAGCATACAACAACACAAGATATTATGTAATATTTTGAAAATTTTATAAAAAAAAGACAAAACATTGCTAAGTCACAAGAAGCTTATTTCTTGTGACTTAGCAATGTTTTGTTTTTTAAGTTCTTAAAACATTAATCAACAAAAATAACATACAACGATATTTATCAACAACACAACAACATACAACAAAATAAGGTCCAAGGACAACAATAGCAACATACAACAACAACAACAACAACAGCATACAACAACATAAGATACTATATAATGTTTAAAGAACACACCTTCTTTTAAACTATCGTAGATTTGGAAAAAAATTATGATTTTCATCTAGTTTATGAAGCTATGAAGAAGAAGTACAAGGTGAATGAAGTTAATATAATAACTTCATACTTCTTGTATTTTTCTTCATAGCTACACAAACCATATGTATCATAGTCAAAGTATATGCTTTGTTAAGGTGGTGAAGACGGATCTGAGAAAATGAGAATATTCACCAAATAAAAAAATAAGAACCCATTTTTAACAAGAAATATAAAAGTAATCGAAGCATAATTTTAATGAACGAACCTGAAATATGATACAAGAGTATCATAATGATTGGTGAAGACAAATCTGAAGGTTTAAGAAAGTTTAAAGAGTGACATGGATGTTAGGGTTATGTTATGAGAGAGAAGAGTGAAATATGTCAGAGTTTTCATTTGAGACAAACAATTGTTATGTACTGAAAGATAGATATTTCACTTATATAGTAAAAACATATCACATTTAATCACGGTTAGAAAAAAAATTGTGATATAGTATATAACTTTTCATCACGGTTAGAAAGAAAAACCGTGATATAATTTTCAACTTTTACAACGGTTCTTTAGTAAAACCGTGGTTAAATCTCTCATAATTTTTTATTATTTATGAACTCAATTGTTAGAGAGTTATTAATTATTCTTATAGTTATTTTTCATTATTGTTGTGATTATTGTTTTTATTTTTGTTGGCTTGTACTATTTTTTTTAGTAAAACAATAATATACAGTGATATAAATGAAAGAGTATATATAATAATAAATATTTTCATTAAGAGGGACAAAAGGGCGGAGTACATAAATTATTTCATTACAGAGGAATTTTCTTAATCTATGACTCTCTCTTTACTACCCTCGTCAGAATCATAGTAACAAATCTTCCTGGACACCTTTTTCTTCTTCTTTTCAACTTCTTCTTTACCTTCCTAATCCTAAGTGTATCTCTGACAGCAGTCGATTCAGATGACTGGACCTCCTCAGTTGACTACTATGATTGCATATTAAATCTGGATGTCAGGGTTCAAACCATCTATCACTCACTCTATGATTACAGTTGTGTCTATCAATCTAACAAAATGACTTTAAAAGAAAAGGCACATCCAGTTTCATATATTACAATAGTGGAAGGAATGAATGTGGTAATATAATGTTATCAAATATGTATTTTGTAGCTAAATTCGATTAAGAGAGGGTTTAGAAATAAGATTTTTGTATTCTATTTTTTAATTCTTGTGATAAAAATCAATGTAATGAAGGATTTGTTAAATAGTTAGCCTTAAGTTTTAGTTTTAGAATAGTTTTGACATGCTTGTACTTCAACATTTGTGAATTTGATTATCCATGCCTTGTTTCGATGATTGCAAGTAAAGATAAATACAAGTTTTATTCAACCGAATTAACAAATTGAAAAGGTTATTATGTAATTTTTTAAAATTATTTTATTCATTGAAATATATTTACATACTGACAAAATTTTATGTGTTGGTTCAATTTAGATTATGATAGTTTGAAAGGAACAATGATAAATAAAAAGTGTAAAAGAATAAAATGATAAAGAAATCACAAATATTTTGTGCTTTGTAGGAAGATAGTTTAACGTGTACATTCTCTACTCACAATTGTAATAATTATTATTATAAGTAAATTTCACTTTAATTTATTCAACGTATATGTATTAGATATAGACTAAAATATTAACTACTGAATATATATATATATATATATATATATATATATATATATATATATATATATATATATATATATATATATATATATATATATATATATATATATATATATATATATATATATATATATATAATCGTTTATAATAGTAATAGACGAGTAGAGTGTAAGAAATTGGTCTCCGAGTTATCATACTAGATACGAATACCAAGTTTTAAATA